GGCATAAAACAAGTCCAGTGTTTTATTGTCTCTTGTGGGGCAGGTGACATACTGAGTGTATGTGGGCAGAACAGATGAGGGAGAAGCATGATTGAAGTCTCCAGAGATGAGGAAGAGGGCCTGTGGGTATTTACCTGTAGGATCATTAACTAGAATAGCAATATGTATACTTGTGCTTACATTGATTATACTTACATTGATAAAGGGCTGTTAAGGGAATACTAATAACAGAAATAAAATAATGAATATTAGATGTTTGTATGATGTGTTATAGAATTGTAACTTACTAATGAATATGAATAGCAGACACAGTATAAGGAAGAAGATTATGGGTAGTTGCAGATATAACATGACATTCTTTGGGAGAGATAGCGGACTCCTTCCAGTCGCAAAAAATAACTCCATATCTGGAAGAGAGAGTACGAAGTGTATACATAGGTTTAAATAATATGTGCATAGGTTTAGATAACATGTCACTGAATGTCAGAAAAAGAGGTCGGTTTCCCCTTCGATGAGTTCCAGGTTGTGGCGATCCCATCGGCGCCATCTGTGGAGACAAGATACTAACCTAACCCTAACCCGAACCCTAACCCGAGAAATTAGTGAATTTATTACGGTAACTTAAACATTACCAGTGTGGAGTGTGTCAGTCAGTAACATCAGTAATGTAGATGTGGAGGTGTGAGCAATATGAGGTGTAAAGGTGCTTCTGCTGGCTGGGACGGGGTTTTTATCTAGTGATGGCAGGGACCATCATAATGTGTGTAAAGTACACCAAATAAAGTAATTTTATCATAACTGTTATTAACGGGACATTTTATTTATTCACTAACTTCTGATTCTGCTTTTACTTTTTACGCCTCAGGAAACACGTTACACACACTTTTGAGTTAAAGGTTCCTCCTCTTCCTTTTCTTCTTCCTCTTCATGCGTTGTCTTCTGACAGAATGAGATCTAACATGGCGGGAGCTTGGTGAGTGTTTCAAGAACTTTGTTTCAAGTGTTTCTTCAGTTCCTGTGGCCTGAAGGAAGGGGGCTAAAGTGTAAATGTGAGAGTATTGCATGGGTAAAGTAAGATTTTATTGTGTGTCTTTTTAGCTCCCAGTGTTTCTTAATTTACAATATTTCTGATTTTAGTGTGAAGTTTTTATTTGTGTTTTATTGCATGTATTGCACACTGGGAGTGTATTGTGCTTTTATTCTGAAAAGCCCATACGGATGTGACTTCCCACGGCGTAATCGCCTGCACCTGTGGAGCGTCAAATTGGTGGACTTTAAATAAGCTTCGAGAGGAAACAGGGCAGGAGGACGGATCAAGCGGAGGAAGCCAGGGACTAATTGTTAGAAGGCCCCATGAAGAATCTTCTGCCTGAGTAGCGATCTACGACTAAGCGTGACCCGTTGTATGTACGTGTGTTTAAAAGTGCAGTGACTGCCGTCTTGCTAGTCAGATAAGACTCTAGACTGTTTTTATTACCCTCTCTTGCCTGATTTTAAACCATACAGTCATTCTTTTATGAAAATAACAAACACACACCATAGTCCCTCCACAAGAGTACTACAGCAACATTATTACTATTCATTACCGACAGAACAAACTGAAAGAATAAGAAGAGCCGGTAACACAGGAAAGCGGCAGGGTGACGCAAATAAGCTGGCAGTGATCACATACGTTATATACATAGAGGTCTCAATCTGATAAAGATAATGACTGAACTTCCTGAGTGATATCGAGTCAAGTCTAGAGAAGGTGGGCGATGAGGGAAACCTGTAAATAGACCCACCACAATCAGACCAGCAACAGGGTTTTAGCTCTTATAGAAAGTTTTTTCATTGTGTAAAAGGTCCATAATTTTTTTGACTTTTATCCATCCAAATTTGTAATTATCATTTGAATAGAGACGCCACTAAGAGTATTGATAGAGAGCGTCCAGGACAGATCATGGTTAGTTTTCATTGACTTTTAAGGTAAATTAAGAGCAAGGGTCCCAGAACAGATGCTTGTAGAACACCCTTCTTATCTGTGAACTATCAGTCGGATAACTAAACATAAAATATAAAATGTTCAGTCAGTGTTACAGTCAGTGTTTACAAACTAGTAAAACAAATTCATTTGGTCCACCAGTAAATTCTACATTTACAAACTGTCCAAGAATTCATTTAAATACTTGTAACTCAGATTGTGTTAAACTTGAGTTATAGATGTGTGAATGAAATGTTTTAGATTTTTGAAATTATCCAGAGAGTCAAACTGAGTGCACTGATGTTAACAGGGAACCACCGATGGCTCAACTCAGTGTTCAACTTTTATGAATACTGGAAAAGTTGGATGAAGAAAATTTTAAGAGTCTCAAGTGGTACCTGAAAACCAAGACAGAAATCCCAGTATCCAAACTGGAGAATGCAGGACGGCAGGAGACGGTGGATCTGCTGGTGCAGTACTTCCCCCAGGAGGTGGAGAATGTGATCATCATCATTTTTGAAGGAAATCAAAAGGAACGATCTGGTTGTGCTTTTGTCACAAAACAACGCAGGAGGTGAAGGTCCATTCAGACACACTACAGTTTATGTAAAAGTTCACTTTAACAAACGCTTGAGTCACTTTTATACCACCTTATTACTCACAGTGCTGCCTGAGTAAAATAAAGAGCAATCAGATCAAACGACCACATCATAGTGATGTAACATAGTTTTGCCTTTACTGTCGATCTTTGCTCTTTTTTCAGTGAAGAAACTCTCTAGAACTGATAGAACTGATGCTAGCAGTTGTTGCTAGCTGCTAACCTCTTCAACAGCATTGTTGTTTAACAAAAAGCATCTTCTCATTGTGTCACATCCGTAGCTGCCAGTACTTCCTCCAACGGTTGTTCCGGTACCACAAACACATAGATTGAATCCCGGCAAGATGGATTGTCGCATGATCTCATGATTTTGTGATTTTGGCTGTAGGGTGTCCATTAATTCCTGATGTAGGACTGCTACAAATTTGTTCCAGTGTCCTCTGACTCGTAGCATAACATTTATACGCCTTTATACTGAAGGTAAACAGTACTGTTCACAAGGCTTCAAGAATGAAAACTGTTTCACAAACGACCTGAAACCTTCCTGATGCAGCAGGAAGTCATCACATTCATAACATTAGTCCATAAACTCTTCGCAATAATGAGGGATCATTTGTTAGAGCTGACGTTCACTTTCGCACTTTCTCTCTCCATCTGTTTCAGACCATCAGAGATGATGGGGTTGCCACAGTAACCAGCAGACTGACAGCCTCTTCGACTCGGAAGGACGCCTCAAGTTGCCTGAAAGTTCTTCTCATACATAAGTTATTCTTCCAAATAACTTATTCATCTAGTTTAAGAAGAAGTCTGTTGGTGGACGTCTACGTTAAATGAATACAAACAACAATGAACCTTTCTGTGAGTTTCTTTACTTCTGCAAACAGTAACCTCAAGAACCTGAAGTAAGTATAACAGTAAAGTAACGTTATACTGGTACATACATAAACACACCCAATAACAAATGAATTAAAATAGCTCGATACAGGGTATAAGTGAAAATCTAAGATATTGATATATTGATGATATATGTGATAAGAAGCTGAACACACAGTGTCTTCCAAGGGTTTTAAAGTTTTAATAGAAATCAGTGGAGCAATAATATTTCTTACAAATGTAATAATCTGATAAGTATGATTACACTAAAACATATAATCTAATCTGACTATAATGATATTTTTGCCTTTATATGTTGTGTATGTCAGCGGCTAACACTGGGTTGGCCCCGGGCTCCAATGCAAGGGGATCAGAGCAATTTTAAAACCACCAGTAACAAAGGAAATCCACTAAATTAAATGACAACCGACTGCCGTGATACAGAAGAAAGGTGATAACAGGAAGGCTGAGACTGTGATAAGACATTAAAACCACCTTCACACATATGAAACTTGATATTGTTAGTGACGGTTAGTGTTAGTCCTGTCTGCACACAAGCATTATAAACACAGTGGGGACTGATTATTGTACAACATAAATGTACATACTGTACAGATATGAGCCAATCAAAGGTTTTGTACACTGTACACATATTGTAAACAAACTGTAATATTCCAGCAGCGACAAATACTGTAAAATAACAGAAAATAACTGAGTCATTAAAAACACAATCATTTTCTATAATCAAAATACAGGGGTTTTTTTCCAAAATTATATGTGAGAAAAAGGAAATGTTATGATTACTTACAGTTACAGATTTTCCCGTTATTTTACATGAGACATGTAAATTCACAGGATATTTTTTACAGAATAAACCTGTAAAAGAAAGTTGAAAAACCCCTTGAACTTACAGATTTGTTATATAGTGTTGTTATTGAATGTGAGACAGGGACACCACATAGTAAGTTCAACTCACTAACTATAAACTTCTTGAGCTCACGTCAAACAACATTACAGCGGCACTACCTGGACTGCTGCGGGCCCCTCTGCAACCGCATCACTTGCATATATGATGGTTGGTGTTACCTCTCATAAAATGTTCTGACCTCAGCAAAAAGCACAAATCAAACATTGATGAATCCCAGAAATCAGTGGCTGCTAATAAAAGAAGAACCAATCATGGATACGAACAGAAATAAGAATGTGTTCGTATTTCGCTTGCTGCATGAGGCCAGTAGGACAGTGGTGTGAAGTGACCTGTGAGGTTATACAGAGAAATAATGATGTGGTTGTTCACTGACACACAGTAGACACCCTTAGAAGATTTATGCTCCTGAATGAACCTCAGCTGAGGGCAATATTTTACACCAGGGACAAACTAATATTGTTATTGAAGAGCACAAAGTCTGATGCACTGCCTGCTGAGTGCCGCCAGAGGGCACTGTTGGGCAGAGAGCTGCAGGTCTTCTTCTGTCAAACAGGAAGCAAACTGGCAGAGGAGGAGGAGGAGGAGGAGGAGGAGGAGGAGGAGGAGGACATGCTGAGACTGGTAGGTCAGGGAGGGGCAGGGCCAGAGAGAGAGAGAGAGAGGAACCTGTTTCTGTGATTTGGACTCGCCCCTTCAGGAATAGAAGAGACAAAAACACACAAAGAGCAGGATGGTTGGATCTGACTTTTACTGCCGGTAAAACACATCTATCTATCTATCTATCTATCTATCTATCTATCTATCTATCTATCTATCTATCTATCTGTGGAGGTGAAACTGTCCTGTTGAGTTTCAGTTGGAACCTTTTCACACTTATTTCTTGTTTGATTTGGTTGTTGTGTTGTTGTGTGTGTGTGTGTGTGTGTGTGTGTGTGTGTGTGTGTAAACATGTCTTTACTGCAAAAAGTGGGAAGAAAATGTCTATAACAGTTTGTACAACCCACGTTATGGGGACACCAGTTTCTGTGCTACATTACGGGGACTGTGTGTGATTTCAGGGTTAAGGGTTGACTTTTGGTCAAAGTTATGGTTTTGTGTGTGTGTGTTGGCAGGAATGTGTACCCGGGTGTGTTTAGCTCAGAGAAAGAGCAATTTGTCCCGACTACAGACCTCACACTCACTGTAAGCAGATTCTGAGTCTGTAAACGTTTTCAAAAATGATTTAAAAAACAAAAAAAAAAAAAAAGAAAAGTTTTGGGGAAAAAAGGTTGTTTCCTCTCGGTGAGATTTCAATAACAACGACCGTCTACAGCTTCGTTTCAGTTGGTATAAACCAGGCAAGTATGTCCGTTTACTGCAAACACTGTACAGCCTTTTATATATCGTATATATTATATATATATATATTTATATATGGTATATTACTACATATACTGCTGAGCAGATTGTGAATTTTCTTCTTTGGATCAATTAAGTTATTGATATAATGTATTTCTTATGATATATTATATTATACAGGTAGCAAAAGTTATCAAATAAATGTAGTGGAGTATAAGTATATTACTATGTATAAAGGAGTAAATACTTATTGACTGGCATTGTTTAATATTCAGTCATTGATTTTTTGTTTGTCGTATCACAGTAACAAATAGTAAACCGGTAATTGGATTTGAGGTTACAAAAATGTCAGGAAAACTGAGGTTATTACTGATATATAAAGTAAGAACATAAATGTAATAATTCTGTATTATTAAAGTAAATATATTGTATATGTCAGTGAAACAGTCACATACTGTAATGTTTACATATGTGACTTATAGAAAATATGACATACTTTAGAAATACGACATATATATTTTATATTCAGATATATATCCATGCAGCAACAATTGCATGGATTGGTTGTAGAGGTTCTTGATGAGTTTGTAGAGGTTCTTGATGAGTTTGTAGAGGTTCTTGATAAGGTTATAGAGGTTCTTGATGAGTTTGTAGAGGTTCCTGATGAGGTTGTAGAGGTTCATGATGAGAACCTCTACACAATCTGCCAAGAGGAGGTTGTCAAGGTTCTTGATGAGTTTGTAGAGGTTCTTGAGGAGGTTAGAGTAGAGCAACTGTATTGTCCCCGAGAGGAAATTTGTCTCAGGCACAGTGCTTCAGTTTGTTTCTTGAAAAACCCTCATAAAACCAACATAGAACGTCGTAAAACCTGAAAGAGACGTTGACTATCTGTTTCAGCAGTTTGAGCTACAGTAGCTCGTCTGTTGGATCGGAACACACGGGCCAGCCTTCAATCCCCAAGTGCATCAGTGAGCCTTGTCTCCAGTTCTGTTCCTTCCTTGGACAACTTTTGATAGGTACTGACCTCTGCAGACCGGGAACACCCCACAAGAGCTGCAGGCTTGGAGATGTTCTGACACAGTCGTCCATCATAATGTGGTCCTTTGTAAACACATCAACTCTGTTCACTGTGTGCCTGATATACCCCCCCCACTGACAGGAGCCCTGATACCCAGATAATCACTGTTAGTGACAGTGCTCACTGTGTTAGGGCTGATCGGTGTATATATGACACTGACAATACATTAAAAAGAGACTGTATTGAAGTGCTGAGTGAAGTTCTAATTGTTATGGTTTATTTATTGCACATTTCTCTATTAACCGATAAAACAACGGCCCACTCCATAATGACTGTCTCTGCTACAGTCGATTGCAAGTTATCAGTGTGTTTTCCAGTGAAGAAGGTCATCTTTGTGGATGCCACAGTATAAATATTAGGATGTGCTGTTTTTTAATGTCCACTGGCTCGTGGTCAGTCACTTGCCTCAGGTCAAATACCATCGCCTGCGTTTTGGTGACATTTAAAATGTGACAGTTTGTGTCACAGCACTTTATAAAGCCGTCTCAATCATTGTGGTACACAGTAAAGTTTATATTAGTGTACAGTGTAAAATCGATCGACATTGTCAGGTAATTAATTAGCTAGTTGGATAAGTTGTTACTGGAGAGCAAACAAGGTGTTTATCACTCTTGAGGTTAGCTTATAGTTTTACTAGCATTAGCCACAGGACTGCCAACTCATGCAACTGATTTCACACATGTTCACTTTCTCCTGCAGTGAGAACAGATTTATAACTGATAACAGGACAAAGACAGACCAGATTCAGTGTTACTATGGTTACAGGGACACTCTATGATTTCCGATACAAGGTCATTATTTGATTAGTATGCCTGTATGAAATCATGAATGTAATTGAGAAGATACCCTCGTTACGTTTGGTGTCCTGACTTAGGCCAGTTGTAGGTCGGTACTTGTTTTCTTTTTCAAAATTGTAAATCAGTCATGCATAATTCCTACAATAGTTAGTTCACTAAACTAAATTTTATATTCAGTATTCCTTTTTTCAGTGCTATAGAGGTTATTGAGGTTCGAGTAGCGCATACACAACATGTTCTCCCTGAGGGGAATTTGATGTTAATAATATAGTATCAATAATCATAGTTAAATAAAATAGTACATTTAAGTTCTATAACCACATTTTACATTCAGTATTCCTATTTGAATACAGTTGCTAACTTCTGTAAAACTTCTGTAAATCAGTGTGATCCCTGCAGCGACACAGACAGATTATAAGTGTTTAATTCAATTCAATTAAGTTTTATTTGTATAGCGCCAATTCATAACAAAAGTTATCTCAGGACACTTTTCAAATAGATAGAGCAGGTCTAGACCGAACGCCTTATAACATTATTTACAGAGACCCAGCAGTACTACCATGAGCAAGACCTTGGAGACAAGGGCAAGGAAAAACTGCCTTTTAAAAGACAGAAACCTAGGACAGATCCTTCGGCTCTAGGTGGGCGGTCGTCTGTCTCAATCAGTTGGGGTGAAAGAGAGAGAGAGACAGAAAGAGAGAGAGACAGACAGACGGACAGACAGACAGGTGCACAGCAACAACAGGATTGGCAATGGCAGTCAAGCAGGACCATGGTAGGAGGCTCCACCAGGATCGATGAGAACCTGCGAGAAGAGAAAGCACAAGAACTCCGGGGAAGAAGTGAAGTTAGTAACATGCATTAATGGGACATTGATGTGTCAATGAAAGAAGGCAGTCCTGGAGGTTTGCTTTATGTGGGAATTAAATGACAAATCCTGATCAATGATAACTCCAAGATTCCTGACAGTGGTGCTAGAGGCCAAGGTAATGCCATCTAGAGTAACTATATCGTTAGATAGTGAGTCTGTAAGGTTTTTGGGGCCAAGTACAACAATTTCGTTTTTTTCTGAGTTTTACATCAGAAAATTGCAGCTTATGCAGGACTTTTTGTCCTTAAGACATGTTTGTAATTTAGATAATTGATTAATTTCATCGGGCTTGATCGACAGATATAACTGCGTATCATCTGCATAACTGTGAAAGTTAATGGAGTGATTCCTAATAATGTTGCCTAAACGGAGCATAGGTAAAGTAAATAGTATTGGTCCATGTACAGAACCTTGTGGAACTCCATGACTAACTGTAGTATTTATTGAAGATTCATCGTTAACATGTACAAACTGCAAATGATCTGATAAATATGACTTAAACCAGCTTAGTGCGGTTCCTTTAATGCCAATTTGATGCTCAAGTCTCTGTAAAAGAATATTATGGTCAATGGTGTCAAATGCAGCACTAAGGTCTAATAATACAAGTCCATTGTCTGAAGCAATCAAAAGGTCATTATTAACTTTAACCAGAGCTGTCTCTGTGCTATGATGGACTCTAAATCCTGACTGAAAATCCTCAAAAAACTATTGTTATGTAAAAAGTCACACAACTTTTTGGCAATTACTTTCTCCAGAATCTTAGAGAGGAAGGGGAGGTTAGAGATCAGTCTATAATTGGCTAAAACCCCTGGGTCAAGAGTGGGCTTTTTAAGAAGGGGTTTAATTACAGCTACTTTAAAGGACTGTGGTACATATCCTGATAATAAAGAAAGATTAATCATATCCAGTAAAGAGGTGCCAATTAACGACTTCTTTAAGCAGCCTAGTTGGGATTGGGTCTAACAGACAGGTTGATGGCTTCGATGTAGAAATTATTGAAGTTAACTGATTCAATTCAATTCAATTTTATTTGTATAGCGCCAATTCATAACAGAAGTTATCTCGGCACACTTTTCAAATAGAGCAGGTCTAGACCGAACTCTTTATAACATTATTTACAGAGACCCAACAGTACCACCATGAGCAAGACCTTGGCAACAAGGGCAAGGAAAAACTGCCTGTTGAAAGGCAGAAACCTAGGACAGATCCTTCGGCTCTAGGTGGGTGGTCGTCTGTCTCGAGCAGTTGGGGTGAGAGAGAGAGAGAGAGAGAGAGAGAGAGAGAGAGAGAGAGAGAGAGAGAGAGAGAGACAGACAGGTGTACAGCAACAACAGTATTGGCAATGGCAATCTAGCAGGACCATGGCAGGAGGCTCCACCAGGATCCATGAGAACCTGCGAGACGAGAAAGCACAAGAACTCCGGGAAAGAAGTGAAGTTAGTAACATGCATTAATTGGACATGAATGAGTGCAGAAAGAGAGAGGAAGAGAGGAGCTCATGCACCATGGGAAATCCCCTGATAGTCTAGGCCTATAGCAGCATAACTAAGGGATGGTTCAGGACTCACCTGATCCAGCCCTAACTATAAGCTTTATCAATGAGGAATTTCTTAAGCCTACTGTTGAATGTGGTAAGGGTGTCTGCCTCCCGAACCACAACTGGAAGCTGGTT